GTTGCGAGGGAATTTCCACCAGACATCGCCAAACTCTTCGAACACTGTCTAACCACAACCTACTTTCAGTGGAACAGCGAATTCTTTGAGCAGACAGATGGAGTAGTAATGGGCAGCCCTCTTAGTCCAGTGATAGCCAATTATTTTATGGAAAAATTTGGAAAGAACGCTCTGGACACAGCCGTGAGGAAACCTCAGTGTTGGTTCCGCTATGTTGATGACACTTTTGTTGTTTGGGGCCATGGTCTGACTGAACTTGAAGACTTCCTGAGGCACCTCAACTCAATAAATATGTATTGTTGAATCCACGGTAAATATGATGCTACCCATGTATATACTCCGGGAACATTCACTTGGCCGCACTGTAAGCCAACTGAAGGTATGCCAATAAGGTAATATCTGTTGTTCTTGCGAATTTGAAGTGGGCCGCCAGAATCACCCTGTTGGATAATTAGTACAATTAGTGGAAATAATCTTAGTATTTTAAGCAACATTAAATACAAATTTGGATAAGGGCTGTTGTTGCATATTACATAAATTGCCCAATATGATTTGGTTACAATTTTTGATTAATTAACTAACCTAAATTAAATTTGATACGCGAAATAACATGTGTAGGGTGTTTCCAATAAAGTGTGCACTTTAGACAGTGACTCGGTTCAATCTTAATATATGTTACTCGGTATATTAATCAACTTACCTGCATTTTAGTGCTTCTTTCGTGGCTTCATAAATGCTGGATGCTCCGAGTCGTTAATAATGAAACACCACAGTTATCAACCAAATTTATTTGCGGGGTTCGAACACGAAACTACTATTGAACGTGGAATTATTTAGGAAGGGCTGAAATAAGTTTATTGCTTTGCACATTTTTCGAACAATTAAACTTGGTGAAAACATTACATCATATTATCGATTGTTATTCAAATTACGGTCAAAATAAGCCGTTATCATGATATTTTAGTAAATAAATATGCAATAATAAACCAATTTAAACATGTAATTTTTAACCTCCACAATTGTTCTTTTTTGACTATGAGATAAGAAAACGTAGCAGTAACTGAAACATAATTGGGATAGGCACTTAAAGCACTAATTATTTTCAATAAATAAATAATTGTATGATTACATAGTATCAGTCACATACAATGTTTAAAACAATTATCCAGTATCCCAGGGTCGCGTTTAGCAATCCATAATAAACAATTTGAATAGTATTTTATATCTATATCTATATCTATAGCTGAAAATTCTATGAAAAAACTATATTAATCAGCAAATAGCTGGAATAAATACATATAATAAATTAGCAATTCGTTTTTTCTCGTTGATAAAGCCAACATATAGGTATAAATTTGCAAATAGGCGGCAAATAGATTTTGTTTAGCTTCACAACCATAAGCGGCCTACATCTTCAGTGGAATTCTTAAGCCCAAGTCCTATTTATGTATAAATGTATGGCCATTCGTTGTTATTTTTGGCTTGTTCCTCTTGATTTAAATTTGGGATAACGTGCTCTGAAATAAAATACTGATGGATATGAGCCGACCCTGATCTTTTTCGATTTAAACAGCAATTACATCATATTGCAGTTATGTCGATATTCTAAAGTGATTGCTAGTTAGAAAAGTTAAATAGAGTTATTATTAGCATTCCGCTAACATTTTCGTGTCAAATAAGTATATAAAAAAGGATAAGTTGTTAGAAGGATTGACATATGCTCATTGCTTTGCGCAAAATTATTTCGGATATTTTTCAAATGAGGACGGGAGTTAAATTTAATTCAAGAAAAGTATAACAAAAAGTTTGAAGTTTGCAAAGCCCAGCAATACGAAATTTACGGTTTACGAAAAGTGTGGTGATTTATTGCAAACGCAAAAGCTGAGGACACAAGCCAATACATGTAAGTAGAATACGCAATCAACGTGCATTTAACGGATAATTAGTATTTCTAAAATTTTACTCTTTGTAGATGGCTGCTGTGTTAATATTGTGTACCATTTTACTGGTATTAATATCTACCCTATTATATAAATATTTCACTAGAAATTTCAACTACTGGAAATCAAAGAATGTATTTTACATTAAACCTATACCACTGCTCGGAAATATGCTGCCCGCCTTGATAATGAAGACAACGCTAGGAGAATGGTTGGGTGACTTAAGCCATAAAATCAAAAAGGACTACTTTGGAATTTTCGTATTCGATCGACCAGTTTTGGTGGTTCAATCCCCAAAGCTAGTAAAATTGATCCTACAAAAAGACTTTGAATACTTTCAAAATAGATCAGTGGCCCATTACGAACACGATCCGATTTTGTCCAATTTTATGTTCATGGCTAAAAATCCACGGTGGAAAGCTGTACGATCAAAACTCAGTCCAGTTTTTTCTACTGGAAAATTAAAACAAATGTTTCCACATATCTTAAACGAAGCTAACCTTATGGTGGATTACGTCAG